GTGGTCCTGCTTCAGGTGCTCAAGCTTGTAGTTGTTGGCAGCAGCGAGGTCGGTGCATAGTGAGCGGTTGTGGCCAGTGATGACAACACCGCAGCGACCGGTGGGGGTCTTCTCGTCGTAGAGGTACTCGGTCTTGACACCAGCGTCGGCAGAGATCTTCTCGAGAGTCTCACCGTACTTGTCCTTGCCAATACAACCAATGTAGACGACTGAGTTGGGCTCAAGGACGTATGCAGCACCTCGGGCAGTGTTCTGCGCAGCACCACCGGCGATGAGGACGGCCTTGTAGTTCTGGATCAAGTCCTCGTACAATCCCATGTGCTTCTCTGGGTCGGCGAGGATAGCATCGTTGGCTTTGAGGCCATACTTGTCGAGAAGAGCTTGGTCACTGTGAGCTGTCAATGCAAGCTCATTGCGGTGCTCTTCCACTCCGATAACTGGGATGTATCATGGCAACAAGCTGTCGGGGGGAGGGTGTCCGACTTACCCAACGCCCTGTATATCCAGGAGCGGGTTCTCAAGGCACAGTAGCTCGTAGTTTCCAGGCATTTTTGTGGTTGTTGCTATGGTTGCTGTTTTTCTTAGGAAAGGCGATTGTTGAAGTCGTAGCGGGGAGAAAGTGCTTAATGTGGGGCGGAGTTTCGGACATTGAGGGATTTGAGGGACAGCAAATCTCGCGCTAAGTCGTGCTAAATTCGCCGAGCCCCACGGCGCGATACTGGCGAGACAGTGCCGACCAAGCATCCTTGATTATAGGTTCGTTGTGCGTAAGGAAAGGAAGAAGATATGGTCTTGGGCTTCAGCAGTGGTGAGGGATGTGAGTATATTTGCATACGCCTGCCAGGTTATGCTTTACCGTCGTTATTATCACGCCGTCACGTTCTAGTTACCAAATATCAGACCACCATCTCTAGTACTTTGCATTAGCGGCCAAGGTTCCACCCAGTGGTCATTCCGACAAGGAATGAGATTTTTAAAAACGTCTGATTGTGTTGTGAATAATCTGTGTCTGACCTGTTTCCTACTCTTCCATCCCTCGATACAACACTGCGTAGCTCGTGCAAAAAAAACCCCCCCAACATCCTAATCCCTAATAACAAGCTCCTGGCCCGTTATGACACATACACTCATTCTCTTTGAAGAAGCCTGTAAGCTACCAACAATCTCAATTATGACAATGTCATCTTGTATGGATGCTTGCCCCTAACACCCGTACTGGGACAGATTGCAGATGGCCTACGTTGGTAGCGAGACTATCCGAGTGAACTGGACCTGGTGAAATCCTATTTCCGCCCCGCCCGTACTAAATCCTGGAATGCTGATTCTAGTGCTCGTTTCACTTCTCGGTAGCTCACAATCAACACGTTTTGCTCGTCCCTGCTGATTAGTCCTATTCTCTCATCTGTACCAGCATCCAGCTTGTTAAGACAGTCCAGGATATGCGCCAGATCCGTAACGGGATGTCCGTTTGCATCCACTTGGTGGAAAACGTAATCGCGGAAGAGTTTTAAATAATACCGCTCGCCAGTTTCGGCCCACACCGACGATGGATTTGTACCACTGTTCCCTGGCATGTTTTGGGACGCGTCTAGCTCTGGCCGCTCATTGATCATATTGAGCTTGATCAACAGGCGGACCAATCGTGATGATTCCAACTCTCTACCAAGATGGACCGTGAGGCTGTCCTGGGCATGAAGCTCACTATCAAAAACAGATGCAAACTGATCGGCAATCCCACCAAGGAAAGTGTCAATGTCCTTTTGCAGAGGTGCTGGAGAGGTGGGAGATGATGGCGTTCCAGCTGGTGGCTGGGGGTTGAGCAGCCATTGAACACATTCCTTGAGGCGGGCCGTATAACTTCTTGTAATATAGTCCATAGACTTCTGCATCTGTAAGTGAGCTGTTGGGTTGCTATTCGCAATGCAAAGTATCAACCGTCCAAGTTGAACAAAGTCGTCTGCCTGAAGTTCAGGCACAGATCGCGCATTATCAAACTGAACAATATCCATGATGCCACAGGCATTTAACCGTATCCGGTTCTTTGATGTGAGTAGGATTTTCGAAGGCGTAATCAACCTTGCAGCCAATCCTGACCCATGTATGGCCTTCAACGCTGACGCAATTTGGACAGTGTAACCCCATAAAACCTGCTCTGGTACATGCGATGATGTTGGCTGTCTTCCATGAAATCGCTGCACGGGCTTGAAATGCTCATCGGCAAGTGATTTGGAATTTGGGTGGTAGTCTGTGACGAGGATCAAGGAACTATCGCCGAAGGCTCGAGTGGTAAACGCTTCATGGATAGTAACGACATTGCCATTCAAAACACGTTTCCATGGCTGAGCAGAGCGAATAGCAGTCTCACTCGTCAGTCGAAAGTTTTCGAGACGGCGCAGTGCGTACGTTTTTCCGTCTTTGCTGGATACAGCTCTGTATATCCAGCTAGCATATCCGAAAGGTACAGTGTTTTTCTGAGGTGACATGTCCAAGCAAAACAACGAATGAAACTGCTCAATGACCGGCAGAGTACTGTTTGGGGCAATCTGGCGTGCGACCTCTGCCTTCTTCTGCAACTCTTCTCGCAGCGCATCGGGTATGAAAAAGTCATGAGCAGTGCGCTGGTAAGCAAGCAAGCCGGTAGGCTGAGGTCCTACCGGCCAGTACAAGTGATAGGCTGGATTCTGGAAAGCATTGGCGTTCTGAAAGTACGTCGCCGAAGCATCTTGTGCGTAAGGGTTGATGGTAGCAGCCTGGTGGCTTGGGCCACCCAGTGTGGATATGCTGGTGGGCGTACTAAACGGATCGTAGCCAAGATTAGGATCGACCTGGACTGATTGTAAGTCGAGATCCTCGTTCAAGCCAGATGGGTGCTAGGCACGCCATGTCAAATCATTCTGAGGATAAAGAACCAAATATAATGAAAGCCCCACGCACCATCTGCTGACCGTCAAAGGACTGTGGAACGAATTCTTGAAACTCTTGCGAATGCCAATCAATTGCGGGCTCTTTTGCATGCACGCGCGGGGTGGTGACAGCTAAAAGAAATCAGCATGCGAATGACAGGACAGCTGACTACTGTTCAAAACTCACTGGAACGTTGTGATTTAGGTGTAAAGACGGCGGCATTAGCTGCCTTGGGGGAGATGGCAGCACTGCGAGGCGAAGGTGTCACGGATCCATTCGTGTTTGCTTGCAACGGAGTGAAAGATGGTGAGTCAACATTGAACCTCTTTTTGGTGTTCTCATTCTGATTCAGTTTGAGGTTGTCGTGTATGTACGGACAGGCTAGACAGGGTCACTATAGGCACTTTGGCAGATGCGGTCACGGGCACTTACTATTCTCGTACCGACAGTGACCGTAGATGGTGACATTGCGGCAGAGAGTGTTCTTCGCTTCTGCACAGGGCCAGTCAGATTCAGTGTCAGAGCATACATGTGGGGCTGGCTCATACCGCGACCCTTGGGGCGAGGAGAGACAACTCCCCTCCGCGAATCTCCCGAAGGACCTCCAAAGGCTGTTGCCATGAATCGCGTCTGGCTCGACGATGGGTTGTTTGTAGCAATATAAGGTTGTTGGCGTATCTTGGACGCGCTCTGGGGGGACGAGGCGGCGCTGTGCGTGGGCTCTGCTGGCTGTGACGTGGGGGGTTTGCGGTCAGACCCGGTATCGTCTGATGAGCCTCCTCCCTTACTCCATCTGCCGCCCGACTTGTTCGACTGCTTCCGCCTGTTGCTGCGCACCTGTTTCTGGGGCGTGATAGGGGCGTTGCGCCCTTGGGGATTGGGTAGCGAATCCCGCGACGATGACGACGTCACTTCGGAAAAAGATTCGGTGGTAGAGGAGCCAGAGCTTGCAATAACTGTGGCATGTGGGTGGCCCCTAGGAATGGGAAAATATGCAGGCTGATTGGGCGATGTGGAAGAATGCGGCGCGCCTTTGGTTGGCGGCGACGCAGGCTGAATGGTGGGCAACCTGCTACCCTTTTGGTGGATGCTTCCTGCGAGGCCATTAGAGAGCGAGTCCATCAACGACGTGAAGCTATACAGGGCGGATGGCTCCCGGAAATCTCCAGGGCCGCCAGCAGACATGGCGGGCGAGATGTTCGCGATAGCGGAGTGGCATGGAGCGGGACAGCACAGCGACAAGTGGGTGAGTACCTTTCGGAATTGCGGGCTATGAGCCACCCCCAACGAGTCCAGCGTCGTCCTGAAGGAGCAGCAGCCGCTTCTCCATCAGCAGGCACAGTCCAAGAAAACAAGGCAAACCAGCGAAGCAGGCGCGCTCGAGTGTGAAGGTGCGATGGCTGAAACCCTGCAGCGCTTCTACGCCTTGCTTGCATGCCGCTGTTTGCCCTGTTTGCACCTTCGCTGCTTAGTCACACACATCCCACGCCACCACTGCCACGATCACCTTCGTCGTCATCATCATCACGCCACCAGAGACAAGAAAGATATCACATATACGCATAACTCCATGATAGTATCCTAAAGCACAAAACACTGTCACGACTGGCCCCCCACCCATGGCAGCTCGACATCTGCGCTCGCCCAAAGGACAGCACGCCCCCATGCGACTTCAGCAAGCTACATGATAAAAAGACTTGCCTTCTCCCATCTGACATGCCATAGACACAAAAAGTTAACATAAGCCCCAAAAATACCACAGTAATCTCAAATGTGAAGCATATAGAGTTCGTCACCTTCCCCTCCTTTGCTTGTTCCCTTCACTACAAAAAGTCGTCAGGACGTGAACCAAAGCGTGAGTAACTTCCAGAGGGCGGACCAGATCCCTCAAGACCTTGTTCCGAGAATCGTTTGATAGACGCCCTGGCTGTTGCACCGGTATCAGGCAGAAACAAATCAGTATATGCATGCTTCGTGCAAGTCGATCCTTTGTTGGTGCACAGCGACAGCTAAGGACGGCAGAAGGATCTCGAAGTCCTTGACGATTGATGAGAAGACAGCAACGAGCAGCCTACTACGGCTGCGCCTACAGTCAATCAACCGCCTTGGCCGTTGGGCGGCGTATGGCCCCATGCATTACTGGTGCCCTCGCCATATGAGTTGAACAGTAGCGGACTCGCCATGTTGACATTGGGGGCATATCCGTATTGGCTGTTGTTGAAGTTGTTACTATACGTGGCAGATCCCCACGGCACGGGGCTGCTTCCTTGGTTTCCCCAAGCGGCACCACTGCCAAGACCGCCACTAAAACTACCGCTAATGGGCCGTAGGGTCCGGTTAGTAGTAGGGGTCAGGACGTCAGCACTCAGAAGGGAGTTTGCCGAATCTCCTCGTACATGACCAGACATACCAGCCTTGGTACCAATCATAGGAGACCTACGAACATCATTCCCAAACCCATTGGAATTCATCATGGGCGGTGATGCTGGGCCGGGCGCGCGGTTCCAGATGGAGTTCGAATTCGACTGACCATCGGGTACTGAGGGCAGGTTCGGTGGCTGGCGGATGGAAGAAGTAGATGCAGTCCTACCCATGGGTGTAGAAAGTAATCCAGGCGCAGGAGCAGGAGAGAAGGGCTTGTAGTTCCTGACCGAGTTGACCAAGTCATTGATCGAATAAGATGCCGGAGCGTACGTGGTATCATTGACAACAGTGGTGTCATCAAATGTCTGCTCCGGTGGAGTGGGTGGAATGTTTTCATCCTCTTCGACCAGTGGGTCCAATCCGGCCTCCTCTCCTACCAGATCATCTACCATGTTTCGCATCGCGTTGTCCTTGGCGAGCGTGATAGATGCGGATTCCGAGGCTGCAGCAACACTGTAAGACTTTTGGTCATCTGGAATCGGTGCCTCTACATGCTGAAAAAGAGGCATATCAGCTGCTTGCACAGACAAAACAGGAGAGCCGTCAGGCTGGTTGGTGGGGCTCGCTAACAATTCAGATGGCACCCCTTCTTCCCGGTAGATAAATCGCGGGCCTGCGAGGTCCAAAGGAGCATCCGGGTTCTGTACAAGAAGCAGACCATCGATTAGTAGGTCTTTGACTCGCATGAGCATCTCAACATTCGGATGGTTCCGGTTCAATTCGCTCCACTTTGGTTTCATCTTGTCTCCGTTGTACCACACCTTCATAGTGTCAGGATGAATAAGGGGCTCAAACCCAATGGTGTCTGTATCCTCCTCGAGCATGTAGACTTCCTTAGGCAGCTGATCGACCGGGAAACTGGAAGCCAGGAGGGAGAGCGTTGCGGCATATGCCTTCCACAGCTCTTGCACGTCGACAGTGTTTAGGGTGTCAGCAATGTTGGCATTAAGGACCTGCCAGTAGCGTGTGAACCATGTGCTGTACAGACGAAGTCCTGGCAGAATACGGCGGGCCACAGCGGTGATTTTGTCTGAGAGTTGCATCGTGCGTTCTCCATTTTGGTGCTTCACGTCGTTGCCTTCCGACAGACGGTCCAGTTCTGGCTGCAAAACCTGCAGGAGAATGAAGAAGGTCTTGACATTAAGACGGAGGTAGTAGAAATATGTGCGCATAATGTTGGGAGGTGGATTTTCGCCTGGAAGAGTCAGCACAGTCAAATACAGAGAATTCTCGACATACTTTGCAGCTGGACGGTAGCAAAGTACTCTGCTGACATATTGATGAGAATTATCTTGGTCAAAATAGAATCCAGCGGACGTTCCTTGAGTTCAATGGCTAGATGGCTGAGTACCTCGCCTTCCAACTCATCGTGTGCTGCGAATTCCTCGCCCTTATAGATCTTGCTATGCAATCGGATGAACCATGCAATAAGAGCACGACCAGTCGTTCCTTCGGCTGATTTGTGGTTGTTGATGAGCTGTCCGTTGTCCCATGCAGCGATAACGCGCTTGAATTCGGTGGCCAGGTTGGCTTTGGCCTGAGGGTATGGTTCTTTGCTTGCAAGTGAGCGGTACAGGTGGTACACGCAACGGAAGTGGTCACCGTCCTCACGCGCAATTACGGCGAGCTGATTCGGTGCGTGTCCAGAGTCTGGGTAAATCTCAGCCGCCAAATCGTAATATCCCTTGGCGGGGCCCCAATTGCGCTCTTTGTTCTTATCGACGAGTTCGGTCTCGCGGTAGCGGGAGAGATCGCCGAGTTGGATGAGTGTCTGGTGGCACGAAAAGAGGACCTGCGTCTTCCAATTCGCAGGAATGGGTCGGCGCGGAGACGATTTGGAGGCTGCATTACGGTTAAGCTTAGCGTGGCTGGCGGGGAGAGGGAGCCTACTGTCATCCTTCCATTTCTGGGCAATCTTGCGCAGCTCAGGAATGCCATGGAATTGGGCATCAAGATTCAAAATATACTGACGGTAGAAGCGCTGGCTGGCCTTGATGAATTGGAGATAGGTCTTTTGAAACTTTCGGACCTCCACGACATGGTCCTTGGAGCGCTTGAGCTGCCCACGTGTTAGTGCCGTTGCAGGTGTGGAGATTCGATGGTGCATACAAGCTTGTGTTCTTGTCGGAAAGCGGCGTTGACCTTGAGATGGGCGTTCCACAGCGCCGTCTGGAGTTCGTGGGCGGTCGCGTATTCGAAGTTGCAGATGAGGGCCTCGCAGGCGGCACGGTACCTATGGGGGATTAGTAGTCGCGGCAATTGGGAGGCATCGTCGCCTACTCTTGCAGCACGGCAGCTAGTTCGGCGCACCCGGAGCCGCCATCGACGCGCCTGTAGAGCTCCGTCGCAATCGCTCTCGCCCGCCTGTGGTGAGTCAGCATGTGGGCGTGGCGGGACGGGGGCAGGGGGGAAAAGCGTACCTGTCGAGCTGTTCGGTGTTGGCGGCCATGGCTGGAGTGTGCAGGAGCCGGCGACGTTCAGATGTGACCCCACGGTCGGCGGGCAGGTCAGACCAAGGCACGGAGCAGACGGCGGGCGTTGTGGCTGGCGTGCTCCATTTATGGTGAAGTGGCGTGCCCTGGGTAAAGGACAATCAGCGCGGGCGAGGGTCTCGGAAGCAAACAGCACCCAAGACGCAGAAATGTATGGCGTCAGAAGGGGAGGCGATGGCCGTGGTGGAGAGGTGTGAGAAAGTCGAGTCGGCGGCGGCTGAGTCGCGAACTAGTGGCCATGAATGTCGGAGCTAAGCAGCCACGTCCCGGCCGACTACCATGTCCTCCCTGTAGAACGTATACCATCTACGACTACATACACATTCTCCTCTGCCCACCACATCACACCACATTCTCACCTTGCCACCCCGCGCCATCGAGGCAGCCCCGCAGCGCAAGACTCGGGCGCCATCACTCGCCAGTCAAAGGTACTGCCCAATTTCATACCAGCCTCCCTCTAGTCAACCCAGCAAGCAAACACACACAAAAAACATGGGAGTCAAGCGCTCACACCGCGACTCGTCGTCACCAGACGCCCACAGCACCTCGTACTCACGTGAGGCATCGGTCGACATCAAGATTGTCCAGCTAGACGCCGATTCCGCTGTATCACACGAGCACGCCGTCATGAAGTGCTCACTGCCCCCGCACGACCCGCTTACCTTTGCTTCCATTGAGGAACACGATGTCCACTATCATCAGGTCCACATGAACCGCTGCAGCGAATGCCACAAGAACTTCCCAGACCAGCACTACCTGCACCTGCATATTGCAGAGTACCATGACCCCATCAACGCTGCCAAGCGGGACCAGGGAGAGAAAACGGTAGGTCATGCGTCTTTGCTTCGTTTCTTGCATGTCTGCCCCTAGCCCCCAGATTCTCGTTCCCACTCAAGAGGCGATAAGACCTCCATCTGCATCTGGAGGCTCCAAGTGTGGCGAGTGATAAGTACGTACGACAGCATGTTATGGGCCTTCCAGCTGATCTGTTCCAGTACGCCTGTCTTTTGCCAGAGTGCGATCGGCTATGCAGCACGCCCCAGAAGCGCCGCTTGCACTGCATAGATAAGCATCAGTTTCCCCGCGAGTACGATTTCATTGTCGTAAAAGATGGCATCGATAGACGAAGTAGCATGCTAATACCCCCTCACCGACGGAGAAGCTCTACCTTGAGCTCAGCAGGAGGTACCAGTGGAGCGACTGGAAGGAAAAGAGGTGAGTCGAGTGCAAGTACCGTAGGTGACAGTATGGATGTCGTTCGCGACCAAGACGAAGATGAGAAAGAAGAACACAGCCAAGGAGAGACTCGACGCTATCCTACCAAGCTCCATGGACGTGGAGGGTTTGGCCAAGGTCAAAGCCCAGGTCGTACAGTTGGACGTGGAAGTCCCCAAGCGACTGTCTCTCACAAATCCATCTCATCAGTGCAAACTGTAGACCCCATGGATAGTCTAACGTCGAGTATGTCCGCCCTCAAGTTCATTCCTCATAGTGTACGTATGGCACGTGGCAGAGGAAGAGGGCAAGCGGTTTAGAGGTTGGTAAAAATACGATATAACTTCAAGGCCAGGATTCCATGTATCCCTTCCATCAACGTACTTGGTGTGTGTGACAAATGTATATGTATCTTACAGGTTCTTCTTAGTGTAACATTACATTGCATAGTTCCTGGCACGTTTGCTGGCTGTGGCCTAGATTGGATGCAAGGAAAACAAAACTATCCAATTCTGTGCTTACGGGCTCCGATTAGAGCGTTACAGGCTTATCTTAGTAGTACTGTGTCATTTGTTGGCTGTAAGCAGGTTGCGTATTTAGACCATATACTACCCACCTATAGTAAAGCCTCAGAACGACAGCCACCTATACCGTCGGTCACCTTGCCCTCTCGCTCAATGCATTAGTTGCTCCAACAAGAGGATCACCCTGTTGGTATTACACAGTCCGCTTCTAGTGTCTCCTAATGGTATGTACTAACCCTGCAGGCTAGCGAAAGTGGAGCTTACACGTTTCCTGCCATGTGTCCTGCTACGCGTGATTCTCACCTCATCGTCACAACTGCACCATCTCTCCAAGCGCGCAAAACTCACATGTTTTTTCAGACCCTCGGGCATTTAAAGCCACCATGAAGCCAGCAACCGTGGCAAGATATGCGACTATCAAACAAACTTCTCCGCCGTAAAAAGAAAATAGACAACCAACAATCTCCAAGGAAGTCCCACGCACACATCACAAGCGCGTATAATCTCACTTTCCTTCACCGCAGCCCAAGAAAATCGTGGCGCAGACTCAAATATTGCCCAGATCGTCTCACTGGAAAGGGTTGAACCAGCAAAAAGTAAGCCTGTCTGTGCACGAATTAAGGGGATAACCGTAAAGCTCGGCTGACATGCCGCCCGTACTTACCTAACAGTGCACCGTCGAAGGTCTAGTGTATGGCGACCGATGTTAGACCGCGATTGTACGAATAGTGCCGTATTAGTCGCTCTTCAACTAAATGCAGAGAGGAGCAGCTTAGAGGCCTCAAGAAAAACCTGGTCGACAAAGATAAATGCTGAGACTGACTTGAGTCCTTCGAAAGAACAACCAAACGCTATGGCGCCTTCTCAACAAACTCCGAGCTCGCAACGAGAGGAGATGGCTGCATTCCGCTTTCCTGCACCGGAAGATCGACATGCTCTCAATATATTTATACCAGAGCCTCAGATGAATAGCCCGAGCGAGCGCACATCACCGACTTCGGATACGACACTGTTTGACGACGATGATTTGGATGTACCTCCCATAAGTCAAACGACGGATAGCCATTTAATGCATCGCTGTAAAGTTGTTGAGGACAATAAGTCAGCAAACCAAAGTTTATATACTACAGCCTTCCATCGAGTCCATCGAGTCCAGGAGCACGCTGCGATCCCCATCCAGAGACGAACTAGACAGCACCAATGTCGCGGATCCTCTAGCCAGGTCTGTGACCCTGTCAGTACACGACACCAGCTGCGCACTGCTCGATGCAATGCTACGATGGACATGTTGACGGCTGAAGAACGAGAAATGGAGTATCAACACCGCCATACTTTCATCGGCACTGCTTCTCTTGACGAGTTCCTTAATCTTCTTGAGGTTTCGTCTTCGCATCATGTTACGCAGAGCGCAGTGGTGAGAGCCTTTGTACGATTGGCATCAACAGAGCAGCTGTATGCTCGCCAATGCTCTACGAAACTAGACAGGTGGGGGCTGGTAGCACGAACGACATTGGATTACAGGGATACTGCTAGCGTCGATTATGTTGTACAATCGCGGATTAAATTAGGCTCGATCTCGTTACGGCAATTTCTCGACATGGTCCCCTTTGACCAAGACAACGGGGCAGCGGTTACAAAAGTCGTGGACGCCTTTTCCGCTGCAAGCCATCTGGACGCGAAGACCAACATGGACATGAGCAATAAGGCCAGAGCGCTCAGGAGTTGGATCGTCTCAGAGCAGATGGATGCACGTTGGTGCTGAATGAAACCAAGCTGGCTCAAATGCCCATAGCTCGGTCTCGCTCAAATGTTCTACAACAAGCTTTGCTGTCTTTGTTTCCAAAAGAGAGACTACGTACAGCACGTATGTGCGGTGACGTAGTCATGACACGCCCGTAGTTCTGACAAGCCCATAACCCACAAACATTGTGTAACAGATTGGGGGGAACGTTTTCTGACGTTGTACCCATTCATCGTAGTATGGCAAAACGGCCCATGATAAATGCTGCTTTGACGTTGCTACTATAGGCCTGTTGAAACTCGTCGCTAGGCTTGCCAGGAGGCGAGATTGTCGGCCGTTGTACGCGATCGGCTGGCGGCATTGCACCCAGAGGAAGGGAAGGGCACGATGATCTGTCCATGTGGCGCACATGATCTCCCCGGATCGCCCATCAAGCAGGAAACAGGGGCGGCGCTGTCGATGCCGTCAGTCTTGAGCGTAGATGCAGACGGGCGGACGCTGCGGATGTCGTCTGGCAGGATTTGGCAGTGCTGGTGGCACCCGCGCTTGGCGCCAACCTCCCTCCAAGGGACGCCAACACCGCCGTGATACTTGGCGCTTCGTGTCAGGCATACCGCTTTGGTCTGAATTTCAAACGGCGCGCAGGCCGTACTTGTGAGATGAGACACTTTTTAAGCGTCTCAGGCTCGGCTGCCAAGGCTGCTACCCAGTCGTAGCACCCAACCCCGTCCTTGAACCACGCGGAGAGATGACTTCCAAGCGTCGCACTGTCGCCCAGCACCTGCTGCGGCACCGCGCCATGACTTGGCCTCACCTCCCAAGGGGTTTCATAGCCTCATCGCGCCTCGCAACCTACGTCGGGTGAATTCGAGATTTCTCCTTTTCCCTACGACATACTTGCGCTACACTCGTTCTCCACCACTCTCTCTTTCTTTCACTCTTGCTCCCGCTCTCGTCCTTTGCCAGTCACTTGACGCACCTTCGTTTCCCCACCTCGCCATATGCCGACTCCTTGCATGCCTGCCTTGTATTCGTGATAATCTTGAAGATCCGTCATGAGGCCTTCCAGCCTGTTTTTCGGCGCAGTGGGAATACTGTCGCCATTCACCACATCCGCACTAGAGTTGGATGTTGACGATCCAGGTTCGCTCTCCCCTGCATAAGTCTATGTAGCCTCTGTTAACATGATCAGCCTCTATCAGACAAGCGACCAAAGTTGTCGCTGCAGGTCTTCGAGAATGGTACACCGGTGACCGACCCGGAGACGTCCCGGGAAACTTGCCAGATCCCTACTACTGGTGGCTATGCGGTGCCATGTTTGGTTCCTTTGTCGACTACTGGTATTACACTGGTGACGATACATACAACAACATCACAACACAAGCCATGGTGCATCAAATAGGTCAACCACAGGCGTTTATGCCGTCCAACCAGACCAGTACTCTAGGAAACGACGATCAAGCCTTTTGGGCATTGACGGCCCTATCAGCAGCTGAAAACAAGCTTCCAGACGCCGAAGGACAAATGTCCTGGCTATCGCTTGCTATTGCAGTTTTCAACACGCAGGTACCGCGATGGAATTCTAGGACCTGTGGAGGTGGACTTAACTGGCAGATTTTCTCCTTCAACAATGGCTTCGACTACAAGAACACAATCTCAAACGGATGCTTCTTCAACATCGCTGCCAGGCTTGCAAAGTACACCAAAAACGACACCTATACAGAGTGGGCGATAAGAGCGTGGGAGTGGGAACTCAGCGTCGGGTTGATGAGCAAAGATTATCATTTCTATGATGGAACCAGCGAGCGACAAAATTGCACAGAGTTGAACCATATCCAATGGACATACAACGCAGGTATTCACATGTCGGGCGCCGCAGCTTTATGGAATATGTCAGAGACTAGGGGTAATGCCGTAAGTTTCTCTCCTAAGATTTACCTTTTCTCTCTGAATTCACTTCTAACTTACTACAGAGCCAAGCTCAATATTGGCGGACGCGTTTGGAGGGAATTATCGATGGTGTTGGTGTTTTCTTCAACCCGGAAGGCGCACCAGACGTCATGAGCGAAGTAGCTTGCGAGCGAAACGGACTTTGCGATCACGACCAGCGCTCTTTTAAGGCCTATCTCAGCCGCTGGATGGGATACACAATGTTGACTGCTCCCTGGACAAGAGAAAAGATCATGCCCAAGCTCAGGGCTTCTGCTGCTGCGGCAGCAAAACAATGCGGACCAGGAAAAGGCGGATGTGGTCTTCGTTGGTGGAGGAACGGCGTAAACGACGGAGAAGTCGGCGTCGGAGAGCAAATGTCTGCATTGGAGGTGATGCAAAATCTCCTCATTGACCAGGTCGTTGGACCGGTCGGATTGGACACGGGAGGCATCAGTAAAAACGACCCAAATGCTGGAAGTGATGCTGGAAGTTTCGAGGTCAAGCATAATGCGATAACAACAGGGGATAGGGCAGGCGCAGCCATCCTCACTATCATAGTTGCTTCTCTGCTATTTGGCGGAGGATGGTGGATGATAATGGGCGAATAACTGCCCGTATACTAATTCCAATTATTTCTTAGTTCAAATATGGGTCCCTTGTCTGTGCCGATTCTCGAATTCCTCGCAAAACATATACGCGTATAGTCTTAGATTTACGCATCTTGGCTACTTGACTTTTCTGTGCTTACAATCGACTCGCATGATTCAGTCGCAGACTAAATTGACCAAACATTCGCTCAGTCTGGACATCCCTACCACTAGAACTAGCAGCTTCCCTGTCACTTCCCCACATGTATCTGGAACTCGATCGGTCACCGTGCTCGGGCATGCTTGGGTGCCCCAGCTTGTTCTGCTATTTCGAGAACTCGCGAACAACCTGTCCCAGTATCCATTTGAAAATGCGCCTAAAGGAAACTTTATGTACACATGACGAATTGTTGTGAAATCATACATAGTTTCCTCGTTTACAGTGATTGCATGTATGATGGGAGTTGAGTCATGTGGAATACGTGGTCGGCAAGGAACTACTTAGCTGTGGGGCACAACACACGTTAAATGTTGGAGATTTGTAAGTGCTAGGACTCCTTCTCGGCGTGTATGCGATGCTCTTAGATGAACGTTTTATGTAAAACAAACACCTTAATCCGAAATGCGCCTCTGACGTGCACTTTTTGCTATATTAATAATGCATCAGTATTTCCCTCCGATAATCTGGATAACAGAAAAATGAAGGCTTTACAATCTCGATGCCGAAGCATGAAAGTAGAGCACAGCCACCACATTCTCCAATGTATAGAAGCATCAATTGAATCTTATACCATGTCAAGTATTCTTGCTGCGCATTTTGAGAGTTGTTGTAGATGAATTCTCGTATTACTGACAATGTAATGTTAGTGTACGGTAACTACTTACATACGTACTACGTATGTGGTTGCATCGATTTTCCGGTTTTGCCCAATACGGAAGAGGGGCATTTGTCAGCCCAGTCAGTTGATCACATACACAACCTCGTCACAAACATAAAGGCTCTCCAAACACACTCTCATCAATTGAACAAAATCTCTTAAAGTCTATCCAAATAGCTTGTGACAACGCCGAGTACTCACAGAAACAATGGCAACACCTAAGCCTTTCGGCATTGTACCCAAGGATGCTCAACAAACAACACCGTTTGAACTGCATGTTGAGGAAGAGAAGCTGCAAGATTTCAAGACGTTGCTCAAGCTCAGCCCAATTGCAAAAGAGACGTATGAGAATAAGCAGGATGAAGGGGGACATGGAAGGTTTGGAATAAGTCGAAAGTGGGTAGTTGATGCGAAGAAGGAGTGGCTCGAGACATTTGACTGGTATGTCTTTTTGTCGAATGCTTAGGTCGCACTTCTAACTAAGCTTTCCCAGGCGCAAAGAGGAAAGTATCATCAATTCTTTCCCTAACTTCAAAACCACCGTCAATGACGATGATGGCGGCAAGTACGACATTCACTTTGTCGCTCTCTTCTCTACCAAGCATGATGCTATCCCTATTGCCTTCTTTCACGGGTGGCCCGGCTCTTTTCTCGAGTTCGTACCAATGATGGACCTGTTGCGTGGAAAGTACACGCAAGACACTCTGCCATATCACATCATCGTGCCCTCTCTCCCCGGCTTTGCTCTTTCTTCCGATCCACCACTAGACAAGGATTGGAAAGCCGCCGATACTTCGCGCATCTTGCATAAGTTCATGCTCTCGCTGGGATTTGGCGAATCAGGCTATCTCGTACAGGGTGGCGACATTGGCAGTATATTCTCGCGGCAAATTGCTGCAATGTACCCTGAATGCAAGGGTATGCACTTGAACTTCATGCTCACTAAGGATATCAAGGACTACTCTTCCCCCAGCGATGTGATCAGTAGTGCGGAAAAAGTGGGTATCGAGAGAGGCGACGCATTCATAGCCGTAGGACACGCGTATGCCAAGGAACACGAGACGAAACCCTCTACTATCGGCCTGGTACTATCCAGTTCACCTATTGCTCAACTAGCTTGGATTGGAGAGAAGTTCCTCGCGTGGTCCGACCCTTCTACGAGACCGTCTCTCAATACCATTCTGACGGATATCACACTATACTGGTTGACTGGCTGTTATCCAACATCCATCTACACATATAGAGATAACAGGACGACGTTATATGTTGATAAGCCCACAGGTTACAGTTGGTTTCCGTATGAGCTGTCGCCGATTCCAAAGGCTTGGGCAGAGAAAACAGCGAAAGTGGTTTTCTTCAGGGCTCATGAGAAAGGTGGACATTTCGCGGCATTGGAGAGGCCTGAAGTTCTTTGGGCAGACGTGGAGGAGTGGGCCAAGATTGCATGGCAGTAAAAGGGGGTTTTCTAGCGCCAGAGCAGAAGCTAAGAGGAAATTTATGCAACAATGAGTGACTGCTGCACTATATTCCACCATGTAATGATTGTTCAAGAATTACGTTCATTTTACACAAGTCCGGTACCATCTTGACTAGGCCTCATGAAGAAAAGTATACAATACTATGCATGTAAAAAGGCGGTGATGATGATGATGAAACTCACCATGACTTTCTGGCTCTTGCGTTGATGCTGGAGGGGTGTGCCTACACAAGCGTAGTAGGCTCAATTGGGAATGTGCTGAGACACAGAAGGCCTGTGTGTAAGACGTGCAGGTCGCAAGAAGAAAAGGACAATTTTTAGTCTGTGTTGAGAAATCAATGAAAAAAAGCAGCGACGCGCATAGCACGTATCATGCGTGCACTATTCGTCGCCACCTTTATCAGGAGCTCTGTATACTACATACAAGCACAAGTACATGTGTGGCAATCTTTCCCCAAATGTCCCGACCGTCATGCCGAGTCCGGTTGAATTAACTGCCGGAATCCTGAACGGCCAGAATGGGGTCGGTAGGATTTGGTACCAGGAGATGGAATCTGGGACCGGAGTAAGGAGGTCTGTTAAAATGTCTGCAAGTGGCTAGCCGGGTGGCTGTGTCGGCCCCTAATGACGTACCAAGTACCAATGATGATTACCTTGCCAACGCAACCCCCATACGCATGCCTGCGACAACTGTCGCACAGTGAAACGTGCCGTCTCATCAATCGAATTGGCCCAAATGGATACATGATCTAAAGTTTCGCTCGCTTTTAGCAGTTTTCTACCACATCCGTCGTTGCTCTCTCTGTCGTTACCTGTCGTCGTGGCCGTATTACCCCCCCTTGTCTTATCAGCACCCCTACATCAAACCACAACACTCGCTTTTGCCGAAAACCGGCTGACTCGGGCACTCACTCACTTTCAACTTTGCGGGTTGCGCCCACCGCTCTGTGAACAATGGGCCACTTTGAGTTTCGAGAATTGGGGGCAATTTACAATTATGTGCGCAGCAAATATGAAGAAAGAGCTGAGACAAAAGGGAAGCGGAGACGATCAATGAGCGATGCGGTCACGGAGCGAAAGCCAAAGTACGGGAAACTGCATAAGCCGCCAACGGTACAGTCGCTGCATCAGAGACCGGACAGACCGCGCAGTCGGCTCCAGAAAAGCAGGCCGCAATCAATGATGAGCCTGGCGCAGCCCTTGCCTAATCTCTTTGTCCTGGAATACGATCCGTATCCATATAATACACAGCCATGCCAGTTCCTCGGAGTGTTCTCAAGTATTGATACAGTCACGGCAGGCGCATTCCAACACGGCGCGTACTCGTTTTCAAGAGAGGGGCTATTGGATGGCTCAGAATACCTCAGTCCAACCGGCCGCATCAAAATCGTTTCGCACCCGCTGCAATCCACCGGCGTGACTGCCGCTGTGCCAGGCGAAACACCCAAGAAAGACGGGCAGCACATGCGTCTTGATATTCCGCATCCGCTCAGCCAACCAGTGCCGCGATTCGACAGCCATCAGGATCTCAACATGCCGAAAAAAAGCGAGGTCACTGTCTACCTGGCACTTCATGAAAGCCCCAAAACAGCGTTTTGCATCGGCCTGTTCACGAGCAAGAGTCTAGCGTGGGGCGCGTGCTTGAAAGACAAAGCATGGCTCGAGTGGACCGACAAGGTGGTGGAGCAAAAGAGGGATGTGAGGGAGAACAACCTCCCTCGTGTCGAAGGGAGACTTGTCGGAAGCGGACGGCATGTATGGTACGTCACGGAGTCGACTGTCAATGATGTAAGGAAATGAGAAAAGAAACGTCCGTTGAAAGGTCCTTCTTCTTGTTCTCTTTTCTTCCAACTACAATCTCCCCCCCCCCCCCCATATGAGAGAGATCTTTCAACATCACCAGTGTGTTATGCACAATTCACCGCAACGCATAACACAGCGAAGCATGTGTTTACACACACACACCTCCTCAATCCCTCTCCCTCGGTTACGCGTGTATCCTGCATGCACCCCTCTCACCGCCCGTGGATCCAGACCCGCTATTAGAAAAAAACGCTTTTTCGGTCCCAAGATTTCTACTGCTTGTACTACAAAGCCGAGAGGAGAAAAAAAACATCATATGATGCACGTGTCCGTTCCCCCGCAAACACTCCATCGGCACTTGACTCGGCACACTGCATTTTTTGAACCAACCGTGGGGGTTTTTTTTTCTACCTTTTTTTTTCGTTCTGGATGGGGATTAGGTTATGCTAGGCTAATGCAAAACCGGGGTACATATGCAAGCTTGCGTTACGGCCTCTTGGACCTTCTCTCACCGGATATGTTTTCTTCTTCTTCTTCTTCTCTCTCTCTCCATTCTGTAAACGGATTGCCTAAACTTACGTGGACTTGGGAAAACTTTTGTGTATAAAAAAAATGAATAGATGGGGGGGTGGAGCCGGGGTCGAGGAAGCAATGCAGGAGTGGCCAGGCTGTTCTGGGAACGAGAGATGTCATACGTAAGACGTGTTCCATGATTTGATGTCCCTTTTTTTCGGGTCAAAATTTGGCATGAGAGATACACGATGTAGTTTTCTTTGGTAAATCTCTTCATAGTAGTTGGGAGTTTGGGGGAGTTTGATATATTGTGGTATGTTGTGCGGTACTATGAACATGTCTTGGGGGAATGATTATTGGAAAACACTAGATATGCATGTTGGAGTTAGTCTCGCGACATGTAATGAAAATCTTTGACTGCTTTTACATGTACGTGCATTTGTTTAGTGAGATCATGCTTTGTAAACCGAAAGGATGTAGCTATGGTGTGTTGCATAAGCTCGTCTTCCGACTTAAAAGTTTGCTTAGGACATGTGGACGAAGAAGCCCGGGACGTGTAGTGGTGAAGCACTGCCTGGTTTGCTTATTCGTGGTCGAGTGTTTGAACCAGTGTAATCTCGCCACAGCAGTTCTGCCATTTGAGCCGCTGTCACATGTACCAATCGGCGTGAGTCCTTTCGTAGAGTTACTACGACTGTATGCTTATGCACATCTTCTTGCTAAGCGAAATTTCAGCATACGTATGTGTCTTTCTCGTTGCATTGTGTTGGCGGACATTTATAGCTGAGTATGGAAGGAGCAGTATGAACTGATTTACGAAGGACCTTTGAGGGCGATCATGGCTTCAGATAGTAGAGCGATATTTGGTTCAGCACGTAAATAGAACTAGCCTAGTCCGATGCAGCTTTAGCGCCGGTGTGCTCTTTACTAAGCTTAACTTCGACTTATCGTGACTGTGATTGCGACGTGTGAATTCTTAGCAGAGAGTTGATGTGGCAAGAGATTGTTCTTTTTGGTATGAGAAGGTCATCAATGCTGGTAATACGCTGTCTTTTGTTTTCCTTTGTCTGGTATCGATTCCCTTCAAGCAGCGCAGCGCAAGAAGCTGAGAAAGGAACTAAAGGGATTGAGAAAGATACTTTGATCTAAGCGCTTTCTTCAGTTGTCCTGCTGTTTGAGACGATATTCCCGTAGCTGTGAGGTTCAGCGTTAAACACTTTCAAGACAAGACTTTGTTGAAGCTCCGACGATCATTATCACAAGGGTTACCTTCCCGCTCGGTATCCGCTTTGTTACTATATTTGTTCTCTTGTTTTTTTTAAGTAGAAGCTTGTGATCAGTATTCTGAGCCGTCCCCGAAAGATCGAGGAACGAAAAACAAGGCTCGGTCAGAAAGTTAAGGTTTCAATGATAGCATAATCCACGATAGGTACTAATTGAGTCTCATAGGCGAATTACGCAAAATGTGGAGTAGAATATACCCATATCATAACGTAATTGGTAAAAAAAAACAGGCCTACGGCACGGGCGTGCGATGCACGCGTGCTCTTCTCTGGAGCAGCGGGTACAGTATCAGCTGCAACTGGGGCTGATAGCTGCCACGGTCATGTGCCAGCCACTACACTGCTTACGCGTGCAATGCGCGTCGATATCCAAGCCATCCTTGGTTACGTGTCGATGGCACAATGTGTACAATACTGTGAGCTACTTGAAAATGCTCGCGGTGTTTTCCAGCCAACGATAATCTGGCACGTTGCGTTGGAGTACTTGTGTGGCGACAAAAATGAGGCATACATGAAAAGGTAGAACCATGTAATTTAGACGAGGCGACGGGCGTTCTCGCAGCGTTCTCGCAGCGTAAAGCAAGACTGCCGACTGGGTACCGATATCCTGGTTCGGTGTGACGTGGTAGCTGTGAGTGGGCAGTCGCAGTGACATGTCGGGCTGAAATTGTGCAAGGGCCCACAGTTCATGGTGGGCGTCTGTCCTATCACGTCAGTAGGCAAGGGAGCAGTTTGAGCAGACGTGTACCGAGCCAATCGCTGGGCGGACCGTATAGACTGGAGCTTGGATGTTCCCCCGGCGAAGATCTATTCTGGGGGAGCTGGAGTTCAGGCGAGCCAGGTTGCTTGGACGAGAGAGATGGAGGGTGGAAATGGCGCTAGCCGGTTGTATCGCCATGTAGGAGTGTCATTTCCCATGCATTTGTCCGCGGTCCTGTCGGGACTGGTGCGCAACTGAGGGCTGATGAGATGAGCATGAGCACCCAGGACGGAGGAGACGAGCCGATCGTCTCCTGCCAACAGGGTCTGCAATCGATTGGTGGCGGCGACCGGGCTGCTGCATGAGGAAGGATGCCGGCAATCAAAGAGAGCAAGGCATGACTTCAGCCCACAATACGAGGCTGACGGGGCCCTGGTACATGGCAGATCTGAGGGAGGGGCCCTGGAGCATTGGAGTTGCCAGGGTCAGAGTATTGAAGGAAGCGGGGCAGGGCAGTATGACCGGATGAGTGCCGACCGTAACAGCCACGGGCGTGCTTGATCAAGCCTGTACCTACGTCGAGTGGGCACGAAGGATTCTTCCGTGTGGGCATTAGTCGTGGAACCGACACAGGCGCTGGACGCCGCCGTGGTCCCAGCAAGTTATTGGCGATACTGCGCCCATGACCCGATCTTGTATGATCGCCGACCGGGTCCAATAGCATCCAACATGGGCCTTGGGGATGTGCTGCAAGGGGCGGGACCTCGACCGTCTTATGCAAACAACGACAGTTGCTTCTTCTGCCCATGATTGTGGCGCCTGTCGATCTGGCTTTCTGTTCATGTGGCTTACTGCTAACTCCTACTCTAAGCCCGCGTCGTGACCGTGCCGCGTCGCCAAGTCGCAGCACAGACTGAACACGATCCTGGCGTGGTGTAGGGCATAGATAGACGATCATGCTGTCAATACACAAGGCTGCCATCCAGTCTGCATACTGGGCCGGCTTTGCTGTCCCCGCGGAGCGCACCAATGCAACCCCAGAAGGAGGAAAGTGGCAAAAGTGGGCTGATGCCATTCTACTACTACTGTTGCTATACTACAACAACACACATGCACATGGCACTACAACTTGATGGCCCCCACATGATCGCATCCTTCGGTAGCCTCACAACTTTGACTTGCACTCACACCAGGCAGGCTTGGAATGTAGCTGTATCCTTCTAAGTATTACCAAACCAAATCTAAACTACAGTCGCGGCCCAATCCTGTCGTTGGCAGTGCATCGCCCTTTGGGTTCGTGGTGACGAGGTGTCGTTCGCTGCCCTAGCATTTCTCAGGCCCAAGACAGAAGAGTCTATTGTTGCCCAACATGCAGAACAGGTTTTGTCTGGCGGCGTCCGACAATTCCAAATCCTTGACCGTCCCTTTGCTGCTTCTTGTTTTTAGGTAAGCGCGGTCCGGTGGGATCCACATGGACTCGTCACTCCGGCGCTTCACTTTGTCCACCTCATCGACCCATGCATCGTCGCGTTCCCCATCAAGACCTTCCAGCGCCTGCGCCGGACCATGCGTACCCAGCATTACAGTGCCAGCCCAAAAGCAACCATGTTCCAAAACATCTGTGCATCCAACACATGTCGTCAACATGAACCGTGCGTTACAATTGCGTTCGTACCCTGACTCCCCCCCCCCTTGTTTCCCCAAAAATGCACAACCCAAGAAAATATTGAAAGCCAAAAAGAACTGGCGACAAAAGAAAATGCTGTAATGTCTGACACGACGTCAAAAAGAGATGGAAACGCTACAAAGAACATGGCCGCACATGGCGCTATTTTTGACCAAAGGAAAATGAATGCAGACCGCCTTCTGCCCTGAACACCTCATGCCCATTGCCTTTTGTAGATTTGGTGAAAAGAAAAACAATCCCATGGACTGCGCCATGTCCGGTATATGTACAGGTAAGAAAAAAGCAGGCCACATCATTTGCGTATGGTGATCAAGGTCGCGCGCTCAGTGCGAGTTTGGGGGAGGGAGAGGGGGGAGGGGGGTTACCGGCGCTATGTGCGCCAACGCACTTCCAGAAACGGTCGGCGGATGTCGCACAATAGGAAGCTCCCCCAACACTATTGTCGTTACCAGAGTTCGATGTTATCATCGCCGGCGTGCTGTAGATGTGGGTCGTTGTGCTGAAGGGCCTGCGCCGACTTCCTCAAGGAGGTCCATGCAAGATGTCAACACTGCGCAAAAGTTAGCAACAGACGCCGTGATCAACAATGGCACATTCTATACTCACTTGCTACAATCTCCTCCTCCCATACACCCATCTGGTAGTCGACCAGACCATGCTTTTCCATACTGTCACAGTTCTTGACGAGCTGGGTGCCCATCTTCTCCAAAAAGTCATAGTCAATAAGCGATTTTGGGGCCTGTGGGCGCTGGCCTGTGTTGATCATTTCCTGAGTCATGGCCTTTTGCTTCTGGAGGGTCGAGAGCCAGCACGTGTTGAACTCTTCCCATAGCTGCAAGCGCTGTTGGTAGTAGGTTTCATCGTCGCGCACTAGGCCTGCTACAGTCAATTCAGCTGCTCGCTCTACTCGGCACAGGTGGAGGAACTTACCCAAAGTCTCGGCAAAGTGCAACAGCCAGTCCGACATTCTAAACAACATGGTGCCGGCCTCACTGAGGCGGCTGTCACGCACATGCTCAAATGTCTTCTTGAGCTCACTCTGATAAGTGCGGTAAAAGTCGTCGTAGTCGTTGCCGCTGGCAGATTGCGACTCGCTATAGTTGGCCTGCGGGTAGCCCGGTTGCGAGGTTGCTTGGTTAGGGTCCGCCATGCCGGCAGCAGAGTAGGCGGGAGCAAGGGCTTCTCGTCCGACCTGTGTTTGGGATGCTGTATATGCGAGAGAGGGATACTGTGAGGGGACGCTCTGAGAGGCAATGGTAGCAGTAGGTGCGCTCGTGGGCCCGCCTTCATAGTATTGCTGTTGTGCAACGCCAAAGCCGGTGCTGAGGACCTGTATAGCCGAGTCCCTATTTTGCTGGTATTGTTCCACAGGCTCATACTGCGACGAGCCCGTGGCCGAGGCCTGCGCGCCGTACATGATGTTCTGGCCGTAGGGCGAGTATTGTTGGGAAGTACGCTGTGCCTGCTGCTGCTGCTGCTGGTCGGTGCCATAGTCTTGGGCACTATATGCAACGTTGGAGGGCTGGACTGATGAGCCAAACTGTGCGCTTTCACCGTAAGCGTAACCGTAACCCTGAGGACTGGCACGAGATCCGGAAGAGGGGAGGGAGGTAGGCGGGGCAGGCGCTGTCAGAGGCGGCTGCCTGAAGCGATCGGGTGCGCTTACCACTGGATAGGAGGCCTGTGGTGGAAGGAGCGTGCCTTGCTGGCTTGCGTAACCTGAGGGAGTATGCCGTGGCCGGCGGTCATTGTCCATCCCAACCAGCCCGCCTTTCATTTGCAGACCGAAGGGCGATTCGAGAGCCCGGTACGCCGAGGGCGAGACTGGCGGCGTCGCGTAATTGGCCAGCTTGCAGGCTTGAGCAAGATTAGACGAAGATGATGGGCGCAACAAGTGGGGACGAGGCGGGGGACGAGGCGCAGATGACGGTGACAGTGATTGAGAAGGAATGCACAGGTCGGATGGATGGAAGAGGCGCGTCGTTTGGGCAATGTGTGCGCGTGCGAATGGGCCGGAAGGAGAGAGGGAAGATGCGGGTCGGATGTTGGTAAATGTACGACGTCCAAAAATTGGGAGACCAGATGGGTTGAAGGACCAGATGGTTTGGATATAAACACGGCCTTGACACGTCGACTACTGGGCCAATGGAGCCCAATGATGCAGCTGAGGAGGCTCGCGCAAGAGCCTCGGCGGTAACCAGGATATCCTCGCTTTGGGGAGTGGGACGAGGAAGGATGGCAAATGCAATGCTCCAGGGACCGACCGGACCCGAAGTGGAAATGCTGGAGAAAATATGTGCGTCGAGTGGACCGACTAGAGGGCTAGCTAGTAGCCGACAGCGAAATTGTCCGGTGGAGTCGAGCGTGGAGGACCCTGTCTCAAGCGGGCTGGTGGTGAGGCGAGGCTTATGCGTGACAAGTTTGGAGGGTAGTCCTTGCAATGCGATGAGTGTTCCAACGAGTCGGACTTCGCAGCGGCGGGTCCAAGGAGATCGTCTCAAACAATTAAACGTCTGCGTTGCGGTAGCTTAACGGCCTAAACGCACACTGACGTTGTTCAGCGTGGATAGTGTCTTGGAGGGCGCGCACTGGGCAAGAAGGAGTACATGCAGAGAGACGAACGAAGCCGTCGGTCCGGGGCCAGACTGAAGTGCGACAGACGGCCAGTTTACAGTCGAGAGGAGCACCAGGACGGTGCGGGCAGAGACCGACCGGACGGGCTTTATTAGAAAAGAGAGTCGAGGATCACTGGCGCCCGTGCGGGCGTGGAGCGTCACGACGACGGGCAGAAGCTTGAGGCAGGTTCACGGGAGCCGTAGAGTGGCTGCCGGAAGAGAGGTCCTTGCGAGGGCGTAGTAGTGGGTGGGGAGGGGGGGTGGGAGTTGGGAGTGGGAGTGTTGTTTTGGTCGGCGATGCTAGTCTCTGGCTGTAGCACACGCACACACACGCACACACACAAAGAGTTGTCGACCTGGCTGGGGGAGGGAGATTGACGGGAGGGGATTGGGATGGTGCCAGAGGACTAGGGCTAGATTGGGAGGGCATTAGGGCGGGTGAGGGCCAAAAGGAAGAGTTGCCCAAGCCACGCCGGGGCAGGCTGGAGATGGGGTCTGCCAGGGTGTTGAAACTAGAGGGCAAAACAATGGTGGGTGCCTGGGCAATGGGTGTGGCTGCTGCAGGCCGGACGAGGGCGAGGGCGTGCTGACGAGTAGCAGACATGTGTGGGCGGTGGGCTGGCAGTGTCAGCGACCATGCGAAGTATCCGATTTCCGATCTGGTCAGGGTGGGGCTGCAAATACCCTGCCCGCCATAGTTACGGATCGGCCATGGTGGATCTGCAGGCGCCTGTGCAGCCATGCTGCAGGGCATTGTCGTGTTTCTGGCTGCGCTGCACCGCCGGACGACGTCTGCACGAGCCCAGGGCCTCGAGCAGCAGCAGCAGCAGCAGTCCTGTCCTGTCCTGTCCTGTCCCGTGGCCTGCTGCTGCGCCCTCGTCGGCTACATGGCGAGCCAGAGGAGCAGCAGAGCCCGTCGGGCGGGCCCACGGCGGCCAAATGTCGCAGGCCTGCATGTCGAGCAGCTTGTCCCCTTCACCAGGCTGGGCTTGGCGCGCAACAGTGACAACGCGCCGCTCAGTATTTGCCCGCGCAGCATTTGCCCGCAGCGCGCGCCGTGGAGAGCGACCGCTAACCTTCAACAGCGCTTTTCCGAGCCCCGTCGCGCTCTTGTTTCATACGCCCATAAGAGAGCATGGAGCATGCGGCCATGGAGCGCTCGCCTGCTGCAGCGCGACCAATGCCGCCTACTGCTGCCAAATCATCAAACAAACGTCGAACTCTGCCGGCCTCAAGCATGTCGTCATGGCAGCAGCAGCAGGCCATGTGTGCTGGACTGCTCGAGCGCGGGCGCGGGCGCATGAGGGTGAGGGTGAGGGTGAGGGTGACAAAAGGTTTAGGGGCCATCTCGGACTCGACTCTCGATCCGCCAACCTCTCATCTCTGCCATGCTGCAAGTTCCCGCCGAGGCGCAGGGATGCGCTCGCCTGTGGTCGATCCTGTCTTGTGATGCTCCTCGTCCCAGTCCCAGGCCCCGTCCTCACTCGTCGATCCTGCCCTCGCCAACCACTGCGCCCCGTTGAAACATGTTCCTCCTGCTGCTGCTGCTCCCGCTCCCTCTCCCTCTCCCTCTCCCTCTCCCTCTCCCTCTCCCTCTCCCTCTCCCTCTCCCTCTCCCTCTGCACCCTCTCCTGTCGCTGCCACGCCCCCCTCCCTCCTGCGCCGCCCATGTACGCGCCATCCTCCTCCTCAAATCTTAACCTCCAACGCCTGGGCCTGGCCCCGAGCCGGCCTAGCGCCATTTCGGACTCTGCTGCCGACTTACCTTAGTGGCTGCTGCCGCGAACTCTCCGTCGTGTTCCCAGCCCGGCAGAGCTGCCCACATTAGCCCTAATAATAAGCTGCACCGTTTATTTGGAGCTAAAAAAGCCCGCCTCGCCCTGCAAATGACACCAGCAATCCACCGCTTGTCGCGCCACACGCCTCTGTGCACGGCGCCGGCCAGGTCACGGGACATTCTCTAGTACCATCCATCTCCTTCCACGTGAGCCCCGCCAGCCGCCGCCGGCCTTGCAACCAAGTACTGGCAAGTAAGCCTGCAGTGCACACCATGCCTCTGCAGCTCCGGTGTCGCCTACCGAAACCAAAGTGGTCCAATTGACCGCCTTGCCTGTCCTCACAGGCCATGCGAGTGCGTCATTTCGGTACGGCTGGCGATCATCAAGTGGCCCCAGCTGCCGCCTCAGCCCACACCAGTGCTCGTCCTAACATGGCAAAGCACCACAGGCCTTGAACATGCTTCGAGAACCTTTTGCCGCCTTCCAAATACAGCACCCCCGCCCCCTTCCGCCGCCTGATTCATGTCACCGCTACCTCCTACCTCGTCCAAGTCAATGCGCAATTAACAGGACCGCCGTTACCTCTGCTTACATACCCAGGTACATAGCCCTTTTTTTTCTCTCTTCCATACCCTCCTCTAGCGGCGGCCAAACCGCTGACCAGGAAGCCCCCGCCGCCAACCACCAGCCTGTTCCCCACCCCCTTCTACATCCCAGTGTTCACCTCGGAATGCATATCTTTCTATCCGCTATCAGCACTTTCCCACTACCCATCTTCCGCGCTACAAGGACGTACGTAAGTACATACGTTCCGGACCAACCGAGATGTCGATGCAAGTGCATGCTTGGTACCACCGTTTGAGACACTGTCCAATTGGTCGCCTTGCAGCTGAGTTCAAAACAGACGAGTCAGGAACGTCGCCATCTCGCATCAACTTACCAAAACACTGCACCGTTGCGCTGGTCAAAAATACCACCGGCAATACAAGTGCCCTATCGCCAAAAGTGCCCTGCTCATCTGCGTCGCCCTCATAGGTTGCTCTCTTTTTGGCCAATCCTTCATTTTATTTTTTCAAAGTCGATCAATGTCTCGGCCAAGCGAGCCCGACGTTGACGCCGGCCATGTCGTCAACAAAGCCGTGTGCTTACAGTAACGTAGTCAAGCTGCTTATGCGACAATGTAGTTCCACACCAGGATTATTACTGAAGAGACGGTTGTCAAAGACTGTCAGGGACGGTCCGACAAGCCAATAACGTGCAGCCACTACCACGTTGACAGGGTTGATCCCACATGCCTGCACAAGCTGATACTCGGTCTGTAAGTAAAACAAGGCATTAAGTTCGGGATTAACCACACGTCAAACCCCAAAGCGTTACAGCCCTAACACTCAAAAAAGTTTACTGAGCGGGAAAGGAGCCATGACCCGGCAGGTGTACCGTGACAAGATAAACGGCGCATTAGCCACAAAGCGCCTGCTTATGCCCTATTCGTTACATCTCCAGACGTACTAGTCCAACTTGTCCGCGACGCCGTTGAAGCCATTATATTTTTTTTCTTTGAGCCCAGCGCACTCGACAGGCAGTAGCGTCAATGCGCACAGTAGTAAAGGATACACGTAACTCTTGGGAATCGCCGCTATCCATATATTTGAAAAGTGCGGTCATCACACGTGGCTGTGCTCGAGACTGATATATTCGACAATGCTACCAAGTCCGCACTCAGTGACACATAGACGGTGTGTATGAAATATATTCTTTATCGCTTGACCCAGGTAGGCATCTTGCGTGCTTTGACATGACCCGGCTTCTTCCTCTCCACCTTCCTTGGGTCGCGCGTTATGGTACCAGCTAGAAAAGCAATCAGCCGTCATGTTTGGAAAGCGCATAGAAAACAGATTGGACGTGTTCAGGGGCTTCTTTCGAGACTGTAGGGCATAACCGCAACCGTGCGCCAGGCACGGTGTCTGCATTGGCCATATCCGTAGAGCCACTGGAAAAGCATTGTCGCCATGGAAGACACTTGGGTTTTGCCCAAGAAAAGAAAGAACAACTCACCTCTCCGAAGTGCTGGCTTTAATGCGGGCTCATGGACCAACAATGATTTTGCTACTGCCAGAGTCATTGCCTCCGCCTGGCCAGTCAGACCGCCACCTTGTACTAGTGCAAATACGTTGTACTTGTCCAGGCGCTGGGTAGCCTTGAGCGCCCACACCGCGCTCTCTCGATGGTGTAGCCGTCCAAAGAATTGAGAGAGGGATTTGCCATTGACCAGTACCTCACCTTCACCCTCCACAAGCCATGCAACCGCAGATGATGTCTTCCTCCGCCCGACGCCTTTGGCACGTCCAAGCTCGTCAATGACACCAGGCTTCGGCTTGATGTCTCCAGGCTGGACTGGCTTTTTGTACCGCTGCATAGCTTGCAAAACCTCCTCCGGCATGAGCGAGGGGTGAATGCAGTTCAACCTCCTCAGAATCTGCAGCATCCGGTGATATCGCGCCGTTTTTACTGGCTCGTTGGTCATGATGCGATATTGCTCAATTGTCTTCCACGCCACCTTTGGGGCCTCTGCAGGTGGTATAGTAGGGAGAGTGGCGACCTTGCGGAGAAGAGCAGATAGCGAGAGAAAGTCGTCGGTGAATGTGGGCTTCGCGCTGAAGTAAGATGGCGATGCAGGCACAACACGCAGCGTTCGTAATATATTTTTCTTTTCTCCTTCTTCACCGCTGCCCTTGATTCCATCGAAGTCGAATTCAGGCGCTGCCTTGAATGGTTCCCGTACCTCGTCTTCTGTAACCTCTGCGTGCCTTGCAGCTGTTGTCGAGATGCATCGCCGTATCTGAGGGTGGAGGCTCCGTTGAGCTGGTCGAATCGCCCGCTGGCATTGGGGTAGCGGACGGCTTCCAAGGGCGTCGAATGCCCTCCACATGCTCCGTGAAAGCTCTCTGCCTGCCATTGCGTATCTGGCGTATACGCACGCACCGCGGTAGTCTCGTCAAAAAACTGCCAGTGGGTTGAACGTCGACCGAACCACATGCAAAAATGCCAAGACGGGCGAACTAAAATTACCGTCTGTGCACAGACACAGATTTCTGCGAGGGCCATAGCCCCGCGCTCATTTCAACCAGCCTTTTTTTTTCTTCCACATCCGCTTCTTCACACTGATTGTTTTGCTCAACCACGGTCAAGTCTGCAATCATGTCTTTCGGAAAGCTCTACAGCTACTCGGTACGTGTTTTATCAGCTGCGGCACCAGAATGCGTCGCAACAAGTGCTAACACGACTTTGACAGGGCAACCCACGCACGACCTCTCTCCTGGCCGTCGCGAAGGAGAATGGCCTCGACATTGAGTTTGTCGACACCGAGCCTGCAAAGGGTGTCTCTGCCGACTACCTGAAGATCAACAAGCTCGGCAAGGTTCCCACCTTCGAGGGCGCTGACGGCTTTGTCCTCAGCGAGTGCATTGCCATCGCTGTCTACCGTAAGTGCTACCCCGCTTGTCTGCCCCTATCTGCACAACATGATGTGGAATGTTTATCATTCAGTTATCCCTGTCTGAAAACTATTGTTGAGAACTTTACTATTCTGATTTACGCTTGCAACTCTGTTTCTATTTGACTGCTTCTTGTCTTGGTGGTGACTCAGAGCTGACGTCCCGCAGTTGCTTCGCAGAACGAGAAGACCAGCCTTCTTGGTAAGACCAAGCAGGACTACGCCACCATCCTACGATGGATGTCCTTTGCCAACTCTGAGGTCCTCCCTCCTCTCGGCGGCTGGTTCCGCCCCATCCTCGGCCGCGACCCTTACAACAAGAAGAACGTCGAGGACTCCCAGAAGGCCGCCCTCAGGGCCATCCACGTCATCGAGGAGCACCTTCTTACACACACCTACCTTGTCGGTGAGCGTCTGACTCTTGCCGATATCTTTACCACCAGCATCATGGCCCGTGGCTTCCAGTACTTCTTCGACAAGCAGTGGCGTGACTCCAACCCCAACGTCACCCGTTGGTACGAGACCGTCTACAACCAGGCCAGCTACTCAGCTGTTGCCCCCAAGCTCGAGTTCATCACCGAGGCTCTGAAGAACGTCGCGCCCAAGAAGGAGGGTGGCGAGAAGAAGAAGGAGCAGCCCAAGGCCGCCGCCAAGCCCAAGGCTGAAGAGCCTGAGGAGGAGGAGGAGGCCCCTAAGCCCAAGGCCAAGCACCCTCTCGAGGCTCTGCCAAGGGCCACCTTCGTCCTTGATGACTGGAAGCGCAAGTATTCCAACGAGGAGACGCGTGAGGTTGCCCTTCCCTGGTTCTGGGAGAACGCCAACTTTGAGGAGTACTCCCTGTACAAGGTTGACTACAAGTACAACGATGAGTTGACCCTCACCTTCATGACCTCCAACTTGATTGGTAAGTTGCATCCGTCTATTTTCATCTTTGCACCAATGCTAACGCTGCACAGGTGGTTTCTTCGCTCGCCTTGAGGCCAGCCGCAAGTACCTCTTCGGAGCTTGCTCTGTATACGGCCAGTCCAACGACTCCGTTGTCACAGGAGCCTTCCTTGTCCGCGGACAGGAGGCTCTCCCCGCTTTCGATGTCGCTCCCGACTTCGAGAGCTACGAGTTCACCAAGCTCGACCCCACCAAGGAGGAAGACCGTGAGTTCGTCAATGACCAGTGGGCATGGGACAAGCCCATCACCGTCAACGGCAAGACCATGGAGTGGGCCGACGGTAAGGTCTTCAAGTAGATGCTTCGCTCTCTTTGTGAGGTTTTGCTTTGATTTATGATGCGGATGATTTACGAACCTGGCATGGGTATAGATGGGATGACGGATGAGGATTCATGAGATCACGCTGGGCAGCCCTTGGTAGATCAGCACTACTGCCACGGCCCGGAAGAGGCTGAAAAAAATGCTGCACAAAGAAAGTTCATGATACCCAACACAAACACTGGTCACTCATCACGTGATGTGCATTGTGAAAGTGGTTCCCCTAGTCATTGTTGCTGATGACATGCTGGCTGGACCTGGGGCATTCCCCACTTAAATTCCTTGACATGTCTCACCTTGCATCGAGACGACAATCGCTAAACATGATATGTATCTTACTTACATTCCGTCACCACGCCTAGATCTCTTCGGGCGTTCACATCCCCAGATCTGGGCTCGACAAGGGCGGGGCCAGCTTCTGTGGCTTGGCTTGGGACCGCGAGCGATTGGTTGAGGGCGAACAAGGAGCGAATAACCCGGGCCAACCGCCATAGGAAGGCTGGAAAGAACGGCGCAGGCGCATAGACACATGCATGTCTTTGTGCCTTCGAGTCCGCTTTCAAGTCCGAGGACCATGACACCTACTTTGTACTGCCGACAATCGCTGCGCACACATCTCGCGCTATCGACATACTTACACGACGGCTAATCTTGAGAGCGACGCGTTGTCGTTACCCTAGTCCTCTATAGCACCTGCGGTCCTTTTCGCGGCGATAAACACGGCTTGGTCGGTGATCACCAAACCACATCGCAGGGCATCCCAAGACTCTTGTGGTTTCTGTCATCCCCACTCCCTGTTGCGCTTGAGCTGGCAATCTTCACCCGGCCAGCCCTTCTTCGACTTGTTCATTCTTTTTACTCGCAGGATCCCCCCTTGGGAAAAGAGCTGGGTGTGTTTGACAGCAGCTACTAAAACTACAGGGACAAGGGTAAAGGTGCAATCCGGCTGCTGGGAAGATAGGCTGTGTAAGAGCTCTTGTCAGACTTCCCCTCCCTGCATCAGCTACTAGTGATTTGTGCGGCCGGTCATCCACGCAGTGGAACAATTGTCACAGAATTGTGCGATAAAGCGCCGCGATCAGGACCCAGAGTCCGGGCTTCAAGGATTGCCGTTGCGCCTTAATAAGTCGCCCATAATCGCAACGAGAAGAGAGAGAGAAAAAGCGTAATCATTTGCATCTGCAAGCACAGACAGACCCACCAACAACTTATCGAAAACACGTCACGGGAATCTGAAGCGACTCCAACCAAATCTTCGACTGTCACCTTGTTTCTTGGTTGAAACGCTACCGTTCACCTATCGGAGCTAGAGCATTAAGAGGAAGGTCGACCGTGTGGGCAGCTTGAAGCCGAGGTTTAGGATTAACAGCCGTGTAAGAGCTACGAAATCTAGACGGCACAATCTTTTTACTGAGAAAGAGGACGGAAGAAAGGTTGCGAGAGACGCGTCATCACTGTGGGTATGAGAGAAGATGATGGAAGGGTGGTTCGGAGGTCTTCCGGACACTCGAATGAACCTGCGATTCAGGTAATCTGTTTGGTGAGTCAGTTCAGGAAATATCCGTGGTTCCTGGTGTATCCGCACCGTGCTTCTGATTTGGGGTTCGGGTTCACGAAGAGACAGCAGTCACCATAGGAGCGTTTCGTCCAGATCAAGACTAACATCAACAGGGTTCAGGCGGTGGGCCAAGCGAAGACAATGTCACCGGCTTCCTTGTACGTTCAACAGCTACAAACTGGGCGAAGAACTCCGTCATTGCCGTAGATGCAGGGTCTCATCTTGCATCCATCACCAACATTCTAACAAAAGACTTTCCGCTTGTCTCTGACCCAGGCCCGCCTCTGCAAAATTCTCGAAACAGTAATGGTGCCGCGACTATTGACCAAACCGATTCTCCATCTCCGGGCACGACCCATGTTACGCCTTCGGACGATGAATCCGACGTCCAAACGCCCATGTCCGAGAGTGAGATGCCGGTTACTATCACGACGCTAGAAGAAGGTGCTTTTGCTGGACTGCCATTTCCCTGCCAGAGTGCCAGGGCGAATGCGCTGCACATTATGAGAGAGCATGTATCAACATACCTCATTACGCATCCACATTTAGACCATCTCTCCGGCTTTGTCATCAACACAGCAGCTTTCCATAATACGTCGCGACCAAAGCGTTTAGCTGCATTGCCCTTTACAGTCAATGCTATCAAAACCCATGTCTTCAATAACATCATTTGGCCTAATCTCACAGACGAAGATGGCGGGGTCGGCCTTGTTACGTTCCAAAGGCTTGCCGAGGGTGGAAACATCGCACTAGGCGAAGGAAGCTCAAGAGGCTATATTGAAGTCTGTGATGGTCTTGGTGTCAAAGGGTTCAAAGTAAGCCATGGACATTGCATGCAAGGATCGGGCCACGTGCATCGCGGTTCAAGTATCAACCTCCTGGAGACACCAGGTACTCAGCAAGTAGATGGGCATGACGGCCGTTCTATGAGTATAACTGGTGCAATACACAGTGCTCCAGGCACACCAAGTCTTAACGGAGGTACCGAACTGAACCGACGAGCCAGTGGCATGACGGTCGCGCAAACACAGCAGTCAATGAGAGACGAATGTGTCATTGATTCAACGGCCTACTTCATCCGTGCAGAATCTACACTTACAACGCCCAAACGCGAGATTCTCATCTTTGGCGATGTAGAGCCAGACTCTTTGTCTCTCACCCCACGTAACGCTCAAATATGGAGCGAAGCCGCTCCCAAGATAGCCGCAGGCATCCTGAAGGGAATTTTCATCGAAGTGTCATATACCAACGCACGAGGCGACGCAGTCCTCTTCGGGCATCTGGCACCTCGCCATTTACTAGAAGAGCTCAGTGTGCTCGCCGAGATGGTACGAGAGAAGAAGAGGGCGCACGAAAGAGGCAAAGAAGAGCTCCGCATGAAGAAGAAGCGAAAACGAGCCAGCGGTCCCTTGCAGCTCGACAGCCTCGCATCCCCAGACGCACGCAAACCCAGAATCAACTACATGGGCGTCGGCAAAGGCATCGATTCCCCCATCTCAGCAACCAACCCGCAGACAGACGACGAAGCGCTATCAGACTTCCCCGCCTCAAGAGGCGATACCGGGACACACACCCCGAATCCTGCAGCCTTTGCACCGGACCCCAACGGCGGCAATAGCAGTAACGAAGCCAATGCTACTACTGCCGGTCCTCACGCCTCCTCACACCCTTCTGCCCCCGCTGCTCTCAACCTTTCGAGCGTCTCTGTCGAACACAGCCGCGCCATGCTCTCCGCGGCGTTTGACTCGCCGCTCAAGGGCCTCAAGGTCGTCATTATACACGTCAAAGATACGTTTGCAGATGGGCCGCTCGTCGACGACCAGATTCTGAGCGAGTTGAGGCAGGGAGAGGTGGCGTTGCAGGAGCACGGCAAGGGCTTGGGGTGTTTGTTTGAAGTTAGTCGGTCGGGGGAGAGTTATTGGTTTTGAGAGTTGGGCGGTTGGGTAGGTAGATGGGTGGGGAAGGTAAAACGTGGGATAAATGGTGCAGCATAGGTTGTATTTCTTTTTTTTGGGTGAAATGCATGGTTGGAGTGAGAGTTGCATAGATGGATGGGTGGTGGTTTGAGATTTGGCTTCATCGTGTAGGAAGTTTTTCTTTTTGTTCAATTTGCATTCGAGACTGATGACCTCCCCCCCCCCCCCCCCCCCCCCCCNGTTTCGCATTGGTTTGGCCGGTGGGTTATGTACTGTAGATACGTTTGTGCCATGAGGGATGGGAAAAGATTTCGAGTCTGTGAAATTGGCTGTCATGGTGGTTACGAATGTCATATTGTTGATGTCATTTTCTGTGATTCCATCTATTGTTCTTTGCGCTTAGAGGTCATAATTGTATTGTTTTTTTTTTGAGGGATGAACGAGAATTGAAATGCATCATGTTTAGCAGAGTAGAGCAAAGACTGTTTGTTAAAAATAAAACTGGAAATCAACCAAACAATCGTTACTGCATGCAAAGCTACGACGCAAGTATACGTAATGAGTCGTAATCGTAAAAAAAAACACTAGACATCAATGTGATATCTTTCGCTGTCGTAAGGAGAAAAAAAAGACAGCACAACTGAGTATCTCAATCAACTCAGGCATAAGCTCCCTTGTGAGGAACATGTCTAGGATGCTCCACAATTCCGACCTCTTTGTTCAGCGCCGCTTTTCTCGACAACGCACTCCTCCTCTCCCCATACACAGACGAGACAACCCACAGCACCCACATGATGCCTGCGGCAACACCGTACACAATCATCTGGCCACGACTAGCAGCAATACCCGTGAATGCAGGTGCACCAGAGGCAAGCAAGAGACCAAGTCCTCCATTAATCATGCCAAGGGTGATGAGGATGCGTCCTAGCCACAGATGGCAATGGGACCATAGTGTTCGTCGAGTGTACTTTTTGTACTGGAGGTGGTGTATGAAGCCGAGGATGGGCTGAAAGAAGAGCATGACGAAGACGATGATGCCGATGATGGGATGGTAGTTGCTCAATAGGCTCACAGGCATGTCATTGATCATCCATACACCGATGCCAAAGGCAGCGAGGTAGACGGTATAGGCGAAGAGTTGGAACAGGCCATGTACGAGCCAGAGGCCACGGAAAGAGCCTAGGCGGATGAGGATCGAGCCGAGGGGGAAGAAGAGGACGAAGGCGAGGGCGGCGAGGACACCATGTGCTGCGATGATCTTGCGACGCGATTCTGAATCCGCGTCTGCGAAACCGCCATTTGCACCATCACTGCTATATTGTGTGGCGTAGTCGCTGTTGGCGGCATCACCCCCGCTTCCATATGAGCCAGAGGTCCATTGATCACTCGATCCAGGGCTCCATCTATCGCCAGGGCCAGGTCCGAACTGGGCGGACACGATGGTGGTGGCTATTGCTAGTAGTATCAAAAAATCAGCCCAGGGATTGAAGATCGATCTACCCTACTACACACACACGCACCTAAGCCAAGTAGAAGGGTTCTTGTTGAGAAAGTCATGATGGGAGGCGCCACGTTGAACTGAGTAGCATGAATATGACCAAATAGTCTTACGCGGCCGATAGAAGGAAACATGGGCTACTTATTATTCACCCACCCCAACGCTTACAGCTGAGCTGATGGTGCAGCAACTATCGGCGATGCAGGCCAAGTCCGCCCAAACCGTCGCAGCAGACCCGAAACAGACAAAAGTGACATGAGTGGAAGCGAATCAAGACTGAGGTTACGCGTTTCTGGAATTTCTGAGTGTTTCGAGTGGTGGACATTTGTTTAGCTAGTGCTGTGTTGGGATCGGGGCGTCCATGGAGAGCCGTAGGTCAGACGGCATGTCGGCAAAAACAGATGCAGAGAACTCCGACATGAACTTATGTAAACAGGGCGACTACTTAGACTAGGGGCATGCCTGAAGTTGACTATTGGCGATTTCATCTTTACAGAAATGTAAGTCCTGGTGGGTATACTTGCAATGAGCACGTGATTTGGGGCGTATCTGAATCTACAATTGCCTCGGGCGGGCCGACGCGCTCTCAATTGGACCAAAAGGGCTAGCATGATCTGCCATTTGCATGATACTGCTGGCAGCGACAGGGCAGCGACTAGGCAGCGTAGCTTCGACCTGATACCTACTTGATTTTTTTTCTTTCTAGCGCATGAGGTGCACTCTGTCAGGAGCGCAAGGCTGGATGACTTGGAAAATGGATCCATGACGTAGTGATGGCTCAGGAGAAAAGCGAGCACCCCGGGCGTTTGTGATGAAGAATGGGTGTCAAGATCCTTGGAACGGTTCCTGTGTTGTGGCATGGGCGGCAGCGTGACATGGCGGTCGACATCGTGATGTGGCAGCCCACGCAGGCGGCCTACCCGTCGGGGGTCGACCCCATGGCGGCCAGAGCGCGGATGTTGAGATTTTCTACCGCCTTCTATCCGGGGGTGGTCATGGCCAGGGCTGGCCAGGCACATGGCGGTGTTGAAGAGATGCTATTCCTGTCATGTGGTGCTTTGTTGCAGTCATGAGTTCGCGGGTGTATTAGGTGACTGCGCAGCCGCAGGCGAAACCGGTTTTTGGGCGGGCAGTGTCTCGGAGGCGCAAGGCAGGCAGAGCGACATGTTGGCCCTTTTGCCACGGCGGCCTGAGGCGAAGAAGCAAAAACGGAGACCAGATTCGGGAGATTGGTGATGAGTTGTTTGGGCAAGAAGGAGGTGAAGAGCCTTACAGCGCTGAGTTGTGCAGGCCCAGGACCAGGCATGACTCCTGCAACGCCCGGTCTTCGGCTGCGGCAGCTGACCAATGACGCGATGGCCCGCCAGTGACAGCGGGCCGCCATTCGCTGGCTGGTAGCATCGTCCTGATCCCCGTCACACCACGGCGCGGCTCTGAGTCACCCTGCAGCCTACGACTCCCGGCCATGGCTGACTGGGTAGCGTACCTGCATGAATGATGTGACCACGGCCGGTGTATATAAGTCTTGCACGCCATCCTGCCTCTATGCCCGTCTCTACTGAGATTATTAGCCGCCTTTGCGGCTTTTCGCCCCGCCTCTCTCCCCTTACTGCTACTACAACAACTACAACTACTCTACTCTACGCAATCTCAGCATCATCTACTACACCTACCCTATTCTACACTACTACCGCCACCAAAAGACTCGAAAAAAAAGAGAAGACATGGGCAAACGTCACAACAGAAAGCGAACCAGAAGCCGTCCCAGGAACCGCAATAACAACAACAACAACAACAACCACAATAATCCTAATGCCAACAACAACCTGAACATTAACACGACACCAATCCACATCCGCAGCGAGTCTGTCAGCACCGCCTCTTCGACTCTCTCGCCAACAAGCTCTTGCTTCCAGCCCTCTGGCTGCCCGCTCGCCAACGTGCCAGCAAACCACTGGCAGCAGACATACACAGCATGGCAGATGCGCCTGCGAATTCAGCGGGAGCAGGAGCAAGAGCTAGAGCTAGAGACGCAGCGACTCCGCATCTTTGGTGGCTTACCGGAGGATGAGCGGTGTCTGATGGAACCCATGCTCAAAGTTGTCACGGATCTCTTCGACGGCTTCTACGACTACGAGGACCCTTGAACAAAAGCAGAAGGACAACGACCATAGAAGCCCCCGGGGAGCCATGAACCTGCATTCCACGACCTTTTTTACTCCACTCTCGTGCATCGCATGGCATGGCCACTTCCCCGACCCCACTTTTTTGGTGGGCTGGTCGCAGGGGGTGGGGGTGGTAGAGGCGGTGAGAGTACCACCTCGTTGTTACCACGCCTGTACACATACATACACGTCGTCTCTTTTGTGTATGTGTCTAGACCCTCGTGGCACGACCCGCATCCCCCCTCCCCCCCTTTAATGCGTGTCCCCAATAAATCACCCCTCTTCGTCGACAACACGACTCCACTGCTTTTTACTATCCGCTTTAGGGATTAAGCGTTAAGGATTCTTTGTCCCCTGAGGCGACCGACTCTTTTTTTCTTCTGCTTCGCTTCGCTGTTTTGGCCCAAGCACTACTACACACTCTTAATTTGAACGACATCCAAGTTTTCAACAACTCAGAACTTTTTTTTTTATTTATTTATTTAAATAATCTCGCCCAATCAGAATATTATAATTCCCCTCATGATTCGGGAATTAGCCAGGGGCGGAGGCGTGGGATACCATCTGGGCACGGACTCGTAGCAGATCCCCAGACAAAAGAGAGAGCACTTTAACTATATAGGAATTTTTCCCAACTCTTTCATCAAGGGTTTTTGGGCTTTCCTGAGTGCTCCCCAAAAAAGTCGGGATTGGTTCAACTATTGCTCAGCCCTAGGACTCCGTCTATTTTGCGCATGCGCGGTGGACATGGAAGGGAAGGAATGAAAGGAAAGGAAGAGAAGCAGCTAGATGCACGCTCTGGTGTCTGACAATCCCGCTCGAGTCCACCAGCTCGCGGGTTGCACATGCATCGAGCTTGAGCGTCGCTGCTTCGAGGAAGGAAGGAAGAAAGAAGAAGGAGACGGAGGAGGAAGGAAAACATCAAAGGGAAAGGGGGAGGGGGAATGCCATGTGTTAATTCTGGTCAACGAATCATGAGGGGGAAATCTGAATAATGGGGGGTTGTCGTTTCTGTGTGCTCTTCTGTTTTTTTCCAATCTACATCTCTCCCAGTTACAAACTTACATATTTATTGTCCAGACCATAATGACTGGGAAGGGAAGGGTTGAAGGTAATAGGTACCATGGTAAAATAAAACCGTGGTGGATGTTGATGAATCTAACGGCCGCTCTTTTTTTTATCTTTCATATAATAGCATCGAAAGTTTTAAATAAAATCCTTCTACCTCATCTTTACTGCTTTTGCTGCTGGGGCGTTGGGCTGATGAGTAGCAGCACTACTAACTGGTTTGCTTCCCTCATCCTCATCCTTTCTCTTACTCCCTTACTCACACCCACAGTGTCTGCATATGACCCGCTTAATTAACAACCCCCCATTTTGCTGATTAATACTCCCTCAACATGCCCGAGGCTTGGGTCCTAGACTCACCCTGTAAACCCACATGCGGACTGCAACCGTGCCTAGGAAGAAACAATACCCGCATACCCCCATGCTAAGCAGTAACAGTGTGTACATGGCTAGTAGGTCGGGGTCCTGGTTGTAGTTGTGGTTGTCCGTCATACTTTACTTGACTTGTAGTAGTATCGAGGCGATACCAAAAACGTGCAAGTCTGAATGCTCATATCGTGTGGTTACAAGACAAAGAAAGGAAAGAAGAAAGTGGCAGGGTTAGATAGCACAGAGAGGAATGTTGATTCAATTGATCAAACCATGTTACATAGCCAGATAAGTGGTATTGAAGGGATACTTATACGCCAGACTTGTGAAGAAGGAAAAAAAAAAAACCTCCTCTCATTTCAAACGTGCGTGAATGACATGGATGCCTAAAGAATACAAACAAAGTGAAATATGATAAGTAACCACCTATATTATCACAGAAAGGAAAGAAAGAAGAACAAGCATTGATACCGCAACGCCATTCTTTAACCCCCCCAAAGTACGCATTAAACCTCCCAATTCCAAAAACAGTGGTATCATATGAAATGAAGAATGGAATAAAACGTGACTTCCTCAAGTCTCCAGAGACTCCAAACAAGCGCGACGCAAGTCCACATGGACACACTGCCTACTTGATAGCAGGCAAGGCATCAATCTTGGCATAAAGCTCCTGCGGATCCTCAAAAACGTACCAAAGATCCTTGGGCACGCCCTTGAACGCCTTGTCGAACCGCTCCGGGCTATTCTTAGAGCCCTCATCCATCTCCGCAACGCCCGTGACTTTGCGAATGTAGATGGCGCCAATCCACTTGCTGCCAAACTTGCGGTAGGCCTCGCCGTACGACTCCGGGTCAGTTTGGGTCGAGTCGCCAATGAGGATGAACCTGCGCTTAGGGAACCATCCATAGACCTTCTCGATGCGATCGACCTTGTAGGCTTCGGTGCCTTGGGTCAGGTTTGCGAGGAAGCCGGCGAGGTTCATCCAGCTGGCGTCGCGCAGGATCATGGTGCCGTTGGGGTAGTACTGGTCGCGGAATTTGCGGAGGAAGGGGTAGAGGTTGTAGGGCGAGGCAGAGAGATACCAGAAAGGCGGGTTGTCGAGCTTTTGTACAATGTGCTTGTATAGCTCGGGCATTCCCTTGATGGGCTCTGGCTCCTCTGCAAAGGTAGTCGTCAGGATACCAACGGGCGAGGGCGTGAGCGTCTTCTTGATGGTGTCGTCAATGTCGGAGAGGACTGCCCAGCCCTTGGACTTGGCAAACGTAATGTTGAATGGAGTTGCAGTTGCGTCGACGGCCTTGAAGCTGGTGACTTGGCCGTCTTTGTAGTCGTTGCCGGGAATGGCCAGCTCGTCTACGCTGATGCCATCGCGACCGCTAGGGCCCAGTCTGGCGTTCAAACCCAAAAGATCAATCTCGACCGAGTGAGCAGGAAGGATCTGGTCGGCAAAGGGCTGGAGCCTGGTTGCGACGGTCCGCCTGGCCTGCTCATCGTCTGCAAGGCCAATCTTCTCGCTGACCCAAGCGACTATCTGGGAAAGGTCCTTGCCGCTGTCTTTGACGAAGTAGCAGGCGACAAACTCGGCCTTCCACCTTCCAAGGCGATTCTGGTAGGCGGTGTTGTCGAGGATCCAGACATAGTCGGTTTTTGAATTGACGGGGGAGTAGAAGGGGTTCTTGCGGCCAAGGTAGGAGGAGAGGTTGTCCTTGAGGGAGAAGCTGAAGCGGTTGGCGAGCTTAGGCATATCTGATTCAAAGGCGGCGAAGTTTGATCTTTCTCTGGTGATTCGCTCTTGTTCAGTTTCTTCAGTGCGCATGCGGGCACGGCCGGCCATTGCAGCAGCGGATTCAGGCGCCATTTTGTAGGGTGGTGGGGTTGTACGAGGACGGCGGATTGCTATGGTGGTTCAAAGGTCAGGAGGAGAGGGTGTTGCACGGGACAAAGGGGTGCAATGGCCATAGTCGCGGTCATATACTTTGAGCTAGCACTTGACCCTTCGGTTGTGAGTGGCTGTCAACAGGTGTCTCGCAGCTGGAGCGAATGCGCATGAGGAATGACGTCTAGCCAAGCCATGGCCGCCGCATAGGCTGGGGCATGATGGCCTGCCGAGGAAGCGCGTCTCAGATCCCTGCCTTGTGCTGCGATGCCCGCTGTAGAGCAGTAGTGCACTACTAGATATATAGCAGAGTAGCATGCACCCGTGTCCTACATCCAGGCACTATAGTCTGACAAGATAACCGTCCCGAATCTGAGGAGTCAAGGGAGCTGCAAACGTGGAGCTGGGTGCCTGGCTGTGTGTCATGGAGCAGCGAGTGACGCAGGTGCAGTCACAGTTAGGCTACAGATGGTGGACGGGTGGATCGGCAGGCAGCGAACTCAGCCGTGCGCCTGGTGGTGTAAGTGCATGCCGTACAAAGATACAAGAGTAGGTGTAGACACACGCGACTGCATCTTGGCTGACTCATGCGTGGCCAAAGAGGTGGCCACAGCCTACTCCGGCCGCCGCTCCAGATGCTGGGCAGAGTAGACGACTCGGTCAAGTTGGCAGTACACGTGTACACGTCTGTCTAGCGCTGGATGTCGCCATGTCCATCATGATGCCGTCTCGCGTAGTGCCTGGGGGTCCACTCTCCCTGCAGCCACCATGGTCGCTGTTTGTGCGTGTGTGTGCATGTGTGCGCCCGTGTCCAGGAACAAAGCTGGGCAGAGTATGGAATATGTATCGGGACCCATGTCCAGGGTGTCGAGTCGAAGCGCTTACTGTAATGCTCGGTCCTGCTCCATCCACAGGGTCCAATGAAGCCGACAATGGGGCCGTGGGCGTGCATGTCGACAAAGAGCGGTATTGCTTGGCAACACCCTCCGCCCTCTGGGACGCGTACTACTACCGTCTAAGGCGGTGATGGTGGCTGTCAGACGTGGTTAAGGACGCTGCACAGCCATCAACAGCCCATTGCCACACCTTGTACGCGGCCGTTTACGTCGCCCACCCTCACCCGTCTGCGCCTCTGCCATGGCTCGGGGCCAAGTCATATCTTACCTAGGGACATCCGCCCGCGCGGAGCAAAGCGCGCCTGTGCTGGAGGCCTCATCATCTCTTTCTTACTGCCCACACAACCACCACAGGTCCTGTATTCCGTCCATCCATACATATTGCCTGGGCCCTCAGCCCTCCAGCCTCCCAGCCACTCTGTGCTGCTAGTTTGCGCCTTGCCTTGACATCATCCTGCCCTCGCCTCCACACACACACACCCCCACATCGGCCTTTGCTGGATATCGCCGCCATGGAGCTTAAGAAGCGCCTCAACCTGGGCAGCCTGATGCGCAAACGCCCATGTTAGTCGCGCGCCGACACTCTGAGTACTGCGTTAACACACACACAGCCGCGCCGCCCCAGGACAGCGTCCCTGTAGACCCTGACGCCGATACGCCAGAAGCAAATGCTGCCAGGGGCGTGGTAAGCCACCTCGTCTCGCCAACGCTTGTCCGCCCAAGCTAACAGCAACCAGAGACTCTTCTGCGAGTCTGCCGCTGCTAACTCGGTATGTCTTTGTCTGCACATGGCTGTCCCCTCCCCCACTGACCATGCCGCGACGAATAGGGCGAAGAGGTGCTCCACCTGCCCACCATTGTCGAGTCCGCCGTCGCAAGCCCAGCTGCTGCATCCGCCGCCGCCAGACAAATCCGCACCTTCCTCTCCAAAGAAAACTACACCCGTCCCCATGTCCAGTACAATGCCATTATGCTCATCCGCATATTGTCCGACAATCCGGGTCCCTCCTTTACCAAGAACCTTGACAAGCCATTTGCCGACACGGTGAAGCACCTCTTGCGCCATGGACAGGACCCCAGCGTTGCGCAAATCACAAAAGAGACGCTGGATGCCATGGAGCGCGAGAAGTCCTACGACTCCAACCTAAACACGCTCTTCGCCATGTACAAAAAAGAAAAGGGGCTCATGGCCAATGCCGCAAAGCAATTCAGTCCCCGGACGCTCAATGCGCCAGGATGGTCCGGCTCGCAGAACATACAGGGCGGCTTCAGCTCTGGAAGCAGCAGATCCAATTCCAAGACTTTGCCCCCGCCCACAGAGCTGGCAGGCCGCATCGAAGAAGCGCGCACATCAGCGAAGCTTCTCCTGCAATTCGTGCAATCGACCCCCGCCAACGAGCTGCTAAGCAATGAACTGGTCAAGGAGTTTGCCGAACGCTGCACCACCGCTCAACGGAGCATACACGGCTACATTGCCTGCGACAATCCGCCGCCCGATGACGACACCATGCTCACACTCATTGAGACAAACGAACAACTCTCTCTCGCTGCCTCCAAGCACCAGCGCGCAGTGCTCCAGGCGCGCCGCGTCATGGGTGCCTCGCCCTCACCCCCAGCTCCAAACGGCAATGTCCCAGCTGGTGTGCCTCCTCAGTCATACACGCCACCCCAGATCAGCGCCCCCACATTACCTCCTGCAAATGTGACAAGCACCCAGCCGCTCACCTCTCCCTCTGGCACCTACAGGAACGAAGAGACGTCGCAACCAAAGCCGAGCGCGCCAGAAGAGAATCCGTTTGCCGATCACTATACATCTCCATACACATCTCCACCCGCCCCACCAAACCCAAGAGGAACAAATGATTATGGTGGCTCGCCCGACTCGTATCATCCTGGCTACCAGTCGACTCCATCTTACCTGGGCCGACAAGAGAGTTCTGCCAACAACCTAACCATGCATGGTGCTCAGCCACCGATTGCCGAAGAGGATGAGCATACGCGACCACGGGCCGAACGCCCACGAACGCCCGAGGGCAACGTGCCGCAGCAGCAAGCCCATGACGTGTCGCCGGTTGCAGAGCGTAACACAATAACGTACAGATACTAGAAGTGCCGTGAGGGATGTGATCATGGATTGGTTAGCGGACGTGCTGATGTGGGGTACTAGCGTACCGCCCGAGTACCCACACATCTGACCGGAGACGTCCGTCGCTTTGAAATCACGGCGCGTACATATTTTTGCCATTATGAGCACATTTTGATAACTTCATTTGACCGCATCGTTGACAGCGTAGTTGTTTGGAAAGATACCATAGTTTGTGTTTTTTTTTGATCTGGTTTCGGTACATATTCTACCTAGAGGTGCACTTGCTTTGCCCTGCCCCGCATGATGCATGCTGCAAGTCCATAGGGCGCGCAGGGCCGGTGACCTAATGCCAGACGCCATCGTAGTTAGATTCCTAAGCATCTCGTGCACCTCACGCGTTCCTGTGCTGCATCAATCACGCAATGCGCACCGCACCGCTCCCAGCTCGCCTAACCAGCTCAGATGCGATACTTGCCTCATTCCTGCCTGTGCAGGGGCGACGAGCCGGGGGAGCCTCGCAAACCATCCCCTCCAATCTGGAAGGCAAGACCCGACACAACCCCCACTGGGGCGGAACAAGGACCGCGCCTAGCGCAAAAAGATTTAGAGCAGCCGTCATATTGAAGAGATAATAATACACTACCGAAATACCTTGCCGTCCCCTTCACTCGAATCCTACCCGGTCCATCTCTCCTCTCTCTCTCTCTCTCCCTCTTCCTCATGGCATACTGCTACAACAGTCCATGGCTCGTTCGTTCCCAAAATGCGTCGACACGGTGATCATCGGTATGCGCCCGAGTGAATAGCATTTGCGGACCAGACACTGATTACAAATACAGGCAATGGCCCATCTGCCCTCATCCTCTCCTACATCCTGCATGGCCATATTCCCTACTACGCCGGCGGCCATCATGACGCCATTCTCGACGCAAAACTCCAGAACGCGCCTAACCTTCTCCACCTAACCCCAGATCTCTACGCGCATTTTCTTTCCTCGCTTCGCTACTCGACCCAGGCGCTACCCGTCAATACGCTTCTCGATACCCTCATTCGCCCAAATGCCGACACTGAGTTGAATCCCAAATCATGTATTGAATGGCGGTACGAGCCTGACAAGGCCATCTCACATCTTGCTATTGGAGACACTGTACATGCAGGAGGGCAGTGGGCCGAAGATTCGCCCTCTGCGAGCGCCGACATAGGCACGCTAAGTTATGCCGAACAGCTTAGCCTACCAGGTTATTCATATGCAGACCATCTGGCTAGAACCAGCAAGACAGACGAGGCGGAATTCATACGTCCATCAAGGACTGAAGTCGCTGACTACCTCAAGACCTATCCAGATGCGGTAGGCATATCCGACTGCGTGCTCACGGGGCTCAAGGTCGACAACGTATACCGCACCGTCAAGGGCTTCTCAATCGGCAGTCTCGGAATACGATGCAGGCATCTTGTGCTAGCATCTGGCATCTTCACAGTCAACATTCCACCTCCGCCACTGCTCTCACCCATCTCACAACTCGATTTGCCCGAAGCGCCATTACTCGTTATTGGATCAGGATTTTCCGCTGCAGACGTCATCATTTCGGCGCCGCCAAGACGTAGGATCATACACGTCTACCAGTGGAATCCTGAAAAGCGCCCGTCTCCACTCCGAGGGTGTCATCATACTGCTTATCCCGAATATGCCACTGTGTATCGCCAGATGAAGCTTGCAGCAATTGCATCTTCGAAAAAGAGCAAATCTGGACGGCCCGCCTATGCAAGGAGAAGATCAAGCGCCTTCCAGCAGCGAGACTGGACGCTTTACGAAGGCCTACCTGGCGCAGAAGTTGTTGGTGCGTATAGGTCTGGGGATGTGGCCAAAGTAGAACTGCGGTTACCGTCGGGTGACATTGTTACGCGTGAAGTAGGTGGCTTGGCCTATGTCGTTGGAAGGCGTGGTACACTCGACTTCTTGTCCCCAGCGTTACAAGCTGAGGTTCTAAGTGCACCTGACAATATCCCGGTCGAATTATCGTCGGAGAACCTAGTCTCGGGTCGCACGCTTCGCGCAAAAGCTGAAACAACCTCGCTCGAAGTAGCTCGGGATGTTTTTATTACCGGAAGCCTTACAGGCGACTCTCTGATTAGACACGCAGTCGGTGGCTGTGTTTTCGCAGCTGGTCGCATCCTTGGAGCTATACCAAGCATGTACCCCACTGACAACACCCTCTCACCAGCTTCATCAACACCTCGGTCTGCATCTCCAGTGTCCAACTCGGACGCCGAAGCCGCTACGTCGGAAACTGGTCTTAGTCCACAAAGACCACGGACAGGGCAACGAACACCTTCTGAATTGACAAACGGTCATGAAGACTTACATCTTGACCGCCGGAAGCTTTTCCGTGCTGTCGAGACGGCACATGCGGAGAATAGGTCTTGGGTTGATTCTGGATGGTGGGCTGGTGGGCTGGGGCTGGGGGGGCCTGGAAGGTATTAACGTTTAAAAGTTTGGTTTTGAAATTGCTGCTCGCATTACATACCCAATATAATGCAATATATACGTTTGCAACCATAAGCTTGACTTTATACTCGAAGGACATCAAATTCTGATTATGCGGCAAAAAAAATCAACTGCATGTTTGAGCACCAGCCTCTTTGCAGACGTAGAAGCTCAATTTCTGATGTGGGCGTCGCTTGATTCGAAGAGAGAGAGAGAGAGAGAGGAATGCGGTCCTGATACCACGGTGCATCATTGTCCAAAATATTTGGACAATATTGCTTTTGAGTCAACAAGTGCAAGCCCTTGATGGACAACGGGAGCTCAGCGCCCCCCCCCCCCCCCC